GACGGGAATTATCTCGTGTCTAACAAACGGATCCAACAACTACAAGATCCCGAAGAGGATACCGACGCCGTGAACAAACAATGGACAGACTCGAAGATGATGGAAATTTTGAATTCGACATAGCTTTGTTTGGAGAAAATGGAAGAATACAAAAATATCATGCAACGACTCGAGACGAAATTATCACGACTGGAAAATAGGATTAATCAATTAGAGGTTGTGAATCGAGCGAAAGGTAAATAGTGTTGCGACGAGTCACACCGACGGTTTTGGCCGATCGAATTTCCGCCGCGGTCCAAAAGGTGACGGATTCTCACTGTATTCCGGCGGAAATTATATCGTATCGAACAAACGGATTCGTTAAGTTTTTTTTTTTTTTTTTTTTTTTTTTTTTTTTTTTTTTTTTTTTTTTTTTTTTTTTTTTTTTTTTTTTTTTTTTTTTTTTATTTTATTACATATCGACTTCTTTATGCAGAAATATGATATATTGTTATAGAATTAATCAGTAAATTGCTTTTATCGGTTAAAAATATTTACAATTGTACAGTCTTTTTTCTAAATTGGATGCCCTGGGACGAGCATCGCCGAGCCCATAGGGAACGGTACAGTTCCCGGTCTCTGCGGTGTCCGACCCCGGACAACCGGAACAGTGTTATACCCACCATGAAGTGATGAGCGCAAACCTAACCTTTATCAGTGAGATTAGATATTATACACTTTGTACAGACAAAAATAAAAGACACTTAAAGGAATATAACACTAGACTTATCACTACAGTTTTAAGCCACCCTCAATTAGTGGGTTTTAAGATGTTTTATGGGGGTTAATCGGGTACCACGGTTGCCAGCTCGAAGGGCTTGCGCCTTCTAAGCCTCCGCAGTTCCTCACTATTGTCCAATAATCTGATGGCTTCCTCGTTGGGATGGGCCAAAAGACGTTCTTCATATCTAGAGGCTGTTCGCCGAATTACTGCGCCGACGCTCTCGATGCCGAGGTCCCGGTGGATGTCAGAGTTCCTGACATACCATCGCGCCCCCACCATCCGCCGCAGCACAAAATTCTGAGCCCTCTGGATGATTTTAATATTAGAGTTAGCTGCACACCCCCAGAGCTGGCAGCCGTAGGACCACACTGGCCTGAGGGCCTGCTTGTAAAGAAGTACCTTGTTGTCAAGGGATAGGTTGGAATTGCATCTAAGGAGCCATCTAAGTTTGGAATTTTTGATCATGAGCTCTCGTCTCTTTCTTTTGATGTGAGCCGCCCAATGCAACTTGACATCGAGTGTCACACCCAAATATTTAGCCTCTTCGGAGCACCCCACAGGCCTTCCATCCAACCAGATTGGTGGAACCAACCTGGGTAACCTGCGCATGCGGTACGTGAAATCGATAAATTGCGACTTTTGACTATTAAGGGCAGATCGCCATTTTTTATTCCAGTCGACTATCTGGTCGACTCCATTTTGTAACTTGTTGATGGATTGGCGGAGTGTCTTACCTACTGCTGTTCCGGCCGTGTCATCAGCATACGTGGAAATGAGCACATCACCGACGTCGGGTAAAACGCTCATGTATATTAAAAACAGGACTGGTCCTAGGACTGATCCTTGGGGGGCTCCTGCTAGGATCGGTTTGAATCCTGAGTAGGCTTCATCCTGCCTAACTCTGAATGATCTACCTCCCAAATACGATTCAAGGAGATCGTAATGATTGGCAGGAAATAATTTGTGGAGTTTAAGTTTCAGACCTTCGTGCCATACTTTATCGAAGGCTGTTGCAATATCTAAGAAAATGCTTGCACAATACTCGCCTCGCTCAAGTGATCTCTCTATGAGATCTACTACGCGGTGAATTTGTTCTATCGTCGAGTGCTTGGCCCGAAATCCAAATTGATGTTTAGGAAGAATTTTCCTGTCATCAATAATTTTGATTAATTTCTTAAGGTAACATCTTTCAAATAACTTGCCTATACATGATAATAAAGATATTGGGCGATGAGAGGAAAGTTTATTTTTTGGTTTCCCACTTTTATGAATAACTACTATTTCGACCTTCTTCCAATCCTCGGGGAAGTGGCGGAGTTCCAGGATAGCATTATAAATGTTTGTTAATTGCTTGGTAGCTTTGTCTGGTAATTCTTTAAGAATTTCCGATGTAACTCCGTCCATGCCCATTTTTTATTTTTAAGCTTATATTTAATTAGATATTGGATTCGTTAAGTGCAAGATCCCGAAAGCGATGAGAATGCGGTGAACAAACAATGGTCCGAAACCAAATGGAAGGAAGCCATGAAATTAGGTTAACACTGTCTGGACCGTATCTACCAACTTCAGCAATCTTACAATCGTCTGGCTAAAATAGTAGAATCGAAACAGCATTTGAATCGAGAGAGCGGACGACGACAACGTCGACGGTAATTATCATGGCGGCAGAAATACATGGGATCGTCGAGGAGTTACATAAACCTGCACGACGAAACTATCCGTGTCGTAAAGTACGGATTCTCGGATTGTTCGATTTATGGCAAGCCGATCTCGTCGAGATGCAACCGTACGCATCGGTCAACACAGGATACAGATTTCTTTTTACCGCCATCGACGCGTGCTTGAAAAAGGCGTGGGCCGAACCGCTCAAATCGAAAACGGCCACGGATGTCACTTATGCCATGCAACGCGTTCTCAAAGCAGCCGGAAAGTCACCGAAACATTTACAAGTCGATATGGGCTCGGAATTCTCCAACCTCAAATGTCAAGCATTGATGAAGCATCACAAGATTAAAATGTACAGCTTGTACTCGACAACCAAAGCCTCTATTGTGGAGCGATTCAACCGAACGCTCAAAACGAAGATGTGGAGAGAGTTCAGCGCGCAAGGATCGTACAAGTGGGTAGATCAATTTCCGAAACTCATCCGTGAATATAACGGGAGCGTTCATCGCACCATCGGGATGAAACCAATTGATGTCACCGAAAAGGATGTACCGATGATCCTGCAAAAGCTTCGTGGGCCGCCGCTGAGTAAAACCGAAAAGAGCCGTCTGGCCAGACGAAAACTGAAAGTCGGTGATCACGTCCGGATCTCGAGACTCAAAGCCATGCTCGAGAAAGGATACACACTGAAATGAAGCACGGAAATTTTCAAGATTGTCAGCGTCAATCCGAACGTTCCGATCACGTACGATCTGAAAGATGCGCACGATACGATCATCAAAGGAAAATTCTACCGCGAAGAACTCCAACCCACCAATTATGAGGATACGTACCTGGTGGAGAAAATTCTGCGTCGCAAGAAAAACCAGGCCTTTGTCAAATGGTTGGGTCTGGACGCGAGTCACAACAGTTGGATCGATATGTCTTTCGATCAGTATCCATTGATGAATTCAATGCAATAAAAAAATTGGAAATCGAACATGGCACACATCCTGGCAAGGAATGTGCAGGGACCCTGCATCAGGGTCCTTTTGTAGAGTTATAATTTCAAACTAAAACTTTGACAGTCCTCGTTTTTGAACATTTGACCAGGGTTTTTTCTGTTCAATGTGTTGCACATTACGACCCAAAATTTGAAGTTTGCTTCAGTGATTTTGTAAATTTGGCATCATTGGTGCGAAATTTTGAATTTGCTGATTTTAAATCTATTTTAAGACCGAGGTCATCTACTTACAACAAAGTTTCAAGGAGATGCATCCTTGTTTACAGAGGGTCCTACTTCTGCTCTCTCTTTTTCTTCCCACCTCCCTCGTAATCCCTTCACACAATGATCTACAGTGGACTCTCGATAATTCGAAAACCTCGTTAATTCGAAGGAAAGTCCGTTTCCCTTAAAATCTTTCGATAATTCGAAGAAAATCAATGTATTTTTCTCCCCTCGTTATTTCGAAATTTTTAAGCTGGCGCGGCCCTCTATAATTCGAAATTGCGACGAAAATCCTCTCTGTAATTCAAAGTGTGGGAAGTAAATATGGCCCTCCCTCTATAATTCGAAATAAGACTGTACATTCCCTCTACAATTCGAAGTCAACTGTTTAAGTACCTGGGTGTCTGAAAGAGCTGATAGGATTGTCAAAATGTAAACATGTAATTAATACTTTAAAAATTAAATATAAATAATTAATACTGAATAATAACTTAGTGTAATTTTTACCTCCGTGAAGAAATAAACTGATATTTTTGGTTCCTTTTGACGTGAATCCGTCCATTTGCCTCTCTACATTCGAAACCTCACTAATTCGAAGAAAAAGCCGATTCCCTTCAATTTTGAATTATCGAGAGTCCACTATAATTTCAAAAAACGTGGTCTTTACGACTTGACAGGAATGTCCTCCACTAAAATCATGAAAATTGAAGGCTCTGGGCAGAAACACTTGATTTTGGATAATTTAATCAATTTATACCATTTTTTGTACCATTCAGGCCACTTCTGAACTTTTTGCCTACTTTATCAGTTAATAATATTAGAGTAAATTCAAATTCTAATCTCGCATCGTTTTTGAAGTCAAAAATTTTATCATCTGACGAAAGAAACAAAAAATTCATTGAAAGCTGTGAAAACTCCTCATGTAATAATTTTCTTGTGTTCCTCAGAGTTTGCAGCTAAATTTATCAACCCTCGGCAAGTTGCAGCGAAAAAAGCCGGTTTTAGGTGACATTTTGTCATATTTGACAATTTTCTGGCAAGGAGTGTAAGATGCTAAGGTGCAATTCGGATTTGATGTCAAAAAGTGCCCAGAAATTTCCTGGCACAAAGCTACCCTTAATTTTTCAAAACCTAGGCTCCTCTTATTTTCTTTTTGCGTTGACTAATTTGGAAGAAGATTAGGGCAGCGCAGCTGAAGTTATCTTTCAGATCAAAGACATTTTTTTATGTTTTCTGCAATCGGTTCCAATTCAGACTATATATTTTAGTTACCTACAATATATATCAAGTTTCTTGAATGTAATAGGGCACCAACATGTTTGCCTACTGATGTTTAAGGTGGAAAAATCTAATTCTTTGTCATAGAACGAGATCGGTTAAAACCTGCTCCACCTCCAAAGCCTGTGTCAATTTCTCCTGGCCAATATGAAGGAAGAAGTGTCTATCGCGGTAAGTTTTTCTACACCATGCAGACTTTAGTTGATGTGTTTTGTTTTGCTTCCAATCGCGGGAACTACCTGTGTCTGATTCACTTTAAAAATTCTTTTAATGAAAGCTCTTGATCTTCAGATGTGCCCACAGCCTTCGATTTTTTTATTCTTACAATGTATGTCAACCAGAATTTGTATCCTATCAAAGCGCTGAAAATATATTCCATTGAATTCAGAGAATTTTTAAAATGTGAAAAAACCGAAGTGAGCAGGCTCATCTACGGATCAAGAGGTTTCAATTTAAAAAATTGGATCAAATCATTCTTGCAGCTTTGTTTGCAATCATGAGTTTTGTGCCGTTCCAATTGTTCATCCTGCAAAATCGTCAGTTTGCAGGTAGGCAATACTGTTCCTCAGCCATAGATATTCAATTAATTGAGCTGTAATAGTACTCATCTACTCACCTTAGACCGAAATTAATTTTAGTTGTGCATAATTTTTTCTGAAATGCATGGAATAAGCATAATTGAACGCTAACTTTTTTTCACAGTAATGCTAAGTTTAAGTTTTTTTACCTCTATTTATAGATTTGCAGCTAACACCAGAAATGTATAACCAATTGCGTGGCTTCCAAAAAAAAGTCAAGGACCTGAAGTCAGAAGTTCGGAACCTACGGAGAGTGTCGCAGGCTCAAGCTCACTCAACTCGGGAAACGATTAAAGATGCAAATATTAAAATTAGGTAAGGAAACTCTTCATAACTGACGGGAACCCTAAATATAAACTAATGATGTCTCTGATACCGGGTCATCCCTCTAGTATGAGAGTGTCATCAATTTTCTTCCCTACTTCTCAGGATTGTGAAAGTGAGATTTTATGCATTTTTTTTCTTTTTTACCTCTCTACTACTTAACCTAGCAGGCTCATTTCTTGGTGAAAAATTTGGAACCATTATTTTTTTTTTTTTTTTTTTTTAACTACTTCAAATAGCCTTGAAGGGCTAATCCCACGCTTTAAGTCCCATCCCCCCTCCGTCCCTACTGAGCCAGTCCCAGGCAACCATTGTTTGAGACCATCAAACTCGGGTCGCCTGGCCGGGAATCGAACCCGGGACCTCCCGATCATAGAGCAAGCGCTACAACCACTACACCATAGGAGGCCGATTATGGAGGGAAAGAAAGTTCAGATTCAAATCATGTTCATTTTTCCCATGAAATCTTTTTTGATGAAGTTGCTTCAGCAACAGTTAGCTGAAGTTGGTATTTAATTCTGCTCAATCCTCAGGTGCCAAAAGGTTTAGAATGAACGGCCAACATTAGTCTTCCTACATTGTTTTCAATTTCAAAACATTTTGAAAATAAACTTTTTAACCAACCTAGGCTTTTTAGGCCTTTGGTCTCCTAGCTCAGGTGGACCAGCGATCAGGAAACCATAGTTCAGTATGGGCTGATCACACGCGTTTCATGTAAGCGGTTTTTTAGCCTTGGTTTAATTTTTTATTTTGTGCTTTAGCGGTTGATAAAGGCTCGGGTGACCAGCCGAAAAGTCCTGCATATTGTTTATTGATTTTAGCCTTGTTTCCTACTGATTTTTTGTGTTTTTTTTGTTTTATATATATGTACAAATGAGACAAACGAAATGAGATTACACAACCGTTTCCTTTATTTCTAAATCACATTTTAAATTTAAGAAATTTTGAACGATTTAAATACAAATTGAAAATGCCAACGTTCCGAGAGCTGATCGCTCCCATCATCAGGGCTCAAATGAACTGTATCTATCTCTAATCTACGACTGGAAATCGTGGATCCTGCCGGCGAACTTGCACTGGTCAAGGTTGGAAGAGGTGATAAAAACTGCACACAAACAACATTCCAGGAGCTACTGTTTCAATGACATGCACGCGTACAGCCAATTTCTTACAAATTTCTTCCAAAATCTCATCTAGCTTGTCTCATCTTTTCATATACAACAGCCATGAACAATGTATAACTACATATATATATATAACCTTTCTTATGACCTACATTTTTCATCTCAGGGCTTCAGGATCGATGCTCTTTGAGCGAAAATTACAAGGTCGTACCGTCTGCAATAGGTAGATATTTCTTCGAAATCTATCTAAAAGTGTAGTTGTACCTGGATTCCGACGATGTGAAAATTGACCGGGATGTCGTGTTTAGCGGCCTTTTTCTACTTGAAAGTAGCTCTTTTGAATGTTTTGCGACCTGAGACACTCTCCATGGGTACATACTATATGTATTTTTCTACGTAATTTTTATTTCTGGCCATAAAGATGGCTCCCAATGAATTTTAAAAGTCCTAACGGTCCATTGCCGCCAATTTTTACCAATTTTAGGGTTTTTTTAAAGTTCACATGTGTAAAACTTAATGTCATCTAAAAACCGCGTACATTTTCAGACGGAACGTAAAAAAGTACACACGTAAATACCCCAAGTACGTACGTAACTTTTCCCTGCGTTGCCGAATATTTGAGAGAAATCGTTCCCAAGTGCCAAAAGTTGGATTAATCATCACATTGAAGATTCTAGGAATTGAATTTCAAGTTTTCTTTCACTACAAATAACGTATCAAAAATGGAAAATTGTAATGTGTCTCACCGGACATGTAATGGCTCCGATGAACGTGACGCAACGGACCCTCAAGGTGCTTCCACCTTGTCCTTCGCTGCATTACACCACTTTATTCCTGTAACCTGGAGATACTCCTTGGTTCTCAAGATGCCTGCTACAGGCCAAATACTAAACCACAGAAACTGCGTAGGGAAAGTGTCCCACAATCCACATGAAAGTCATAATTCACTTCCTAGAACCTTCAACGTGATGATTTTTGGCACTTTGGGACGATTTCTCTCGAAAATTTGGCAACGCAGGGAAAAGCCATGTAGGATATTACGTATGTATTTTTTTACGTGTTGTCCGAAAATGTACACGGTTTTTAGATGAAATCAAGTTTTACAAATGTGAACTTAAAAAAACCCTAATATTGGTAAAAATTGGCGGCAATGGGCCGTTAGGCCCTTTAAAATTCATAGGAAGTCATTTTTAGGGACAGAAATTAAAATTATGTCGAAAAATACATATAGATCACGCCCATGGAGAGTGACTCAGGTTCATTCAAAGGAGTTACCTTCAAGTAAAAAAAGGCTGCTAAACACGACATCCTGGTCACTTTTCACATCGTGGGAATCCAGGTACAACTGTACTTTTTTGATATATTGTTTATATGGTTAAGAGCTGTCACATACGTCAATATAAAAGTTGTACTCCACTTTCTTGAACCTTAGGCGTGGCAATTTATCAAATTTTGGCCATTTTTGGCTCTTTGGAACGATTTTTCTCAAAAATTTGGCAACATAGGAAAAAGTTTCACAACATTTTTCATCCATTTTTTGCATTCTTTTCAAAAATGTATACGGTTCTTAGTTTAAATTGAGTTTTGCGTGTGTAAAATTGAAAGAACCCCTAAAAATGGGACAAAAATGACAACAAGGGACCGTGAGGCCCCTCAAAATTTTTTGGAGGCCTTTTCAAAGGCCAGATATGGAAAGTACGCAAAAAATACATAGGAATCATCTGCTGGAAGAGTGATAACAGTCAAAAAAGTCAACGAAAATAACTATTTTTTGATGCCAGGATTCTGGGTTTGAGGCGTTGCTGCGCCTTTGTATGGACTCCGTTCGATAAAATATGCGGCAAAGAGTCTACCTATGAGTAGTACTTTGAAAATATGAAACATTCAGCAAAATCCAGGTGGGGCCGGCCAGGTAGGCCCTTAAGGAGATATTCCGTAGGTTTTGACATATACTTTTTCTTTCCAAAATCCGGCTTACTAAAGGGAGAGTTTAAGTTTTGATTCTAGTTCATATTGTAACCTGTCTAAAATTATCTTTTCGAAAAGTTTTCTGACTACTAAGAACAACTTAGGGTCTTGGTCTCTTTTCAATGATGGATAAATTTTTATATTTTTCCACGGGTCAGGGATTTTTTTCGACTGAAGGATATTATTAAAGATGGAGAGAAGAATAACTTGAGCTTCAGAAGAGAGTTGGGTTAGACAGCCTCCTTGAATCTTGTCAAGGTCTGGTCTCTTCTTTTTTAATTTTTGGGGGACTAATTGTAATTCTTCAATATAGAATTTTTTCATATTGTTGTTAAAATATGATTGGTCTGTCCATTGTTTTTCAAATGTGGCATCGGGGGTCAATTGAGTGAGTAAATCATCAACCCAATCCTCATTGATATTAGAAAAGGGTATCAGAGCCTTGTTGAGGATCTTAACTTTTTCAAGGATGATTCTAGCATATTATAATTTAAGGAGTCCATGAATATTCTCCTAAGTTTCATCTTATTTTTCCCAACCATCAATTGAAATTCGGCACAAGTATTTTATACTCAATATAGGTATTTAGGTCGTTAACAAGTCTATAGGATTTAGCTAAGTTGTCTTCAATACCTTTTAATTTTTGATAATCATCATTCTACCAGGGGATCTTTTTTCAATTTTTTCCCCCTTTCTCTCTTTCTAATCTCCGGGAGTAGTGGAATTCGTCTTTTGGCGGGGGATGACATTATTAGTATTTTCTGTTTTAACTGCTAGAGAATATGCTTCATTTATTTTATCCACGAATGATTTCACTATGAATAGTTGAGTTGGTCCAATAATTTATCAAGAATCGATCCATATGTAGCCCAGTTTATCAGTGATTGAAGTTTAGGTAGGCTAATTTGCTTGACTGGGTTTATTGGTACCTCGGTACTCTTTTTGAAGATATAAAGACAGGGGAAATGATCACCACCTCCTGTATTTAATGCTACCTAATCAAAGGCCAAAGCTGTTTCAAAAGTGCAAAATGCTAAGTCTGTGTAACTTTTGATTTCCCTTGGAGCTGTTTTTCTTAATGGTCGGGGGTTGAGGAAATTTACATTGAAAAGATTCTGCTGTTCAGAGAAGTAGTATGAAAATGGGAATCTTAGCACAGTAAATTATCCAACAGCGTTGCATGTTTGTGCAGAAAAATATGAATTAAATTACAGCGTTGTATAGGGATTATTGTTCAATATGGCAACGGTGTAAAAAGAAAGTATTGCATGTTGCCCCTTCAATATGCGGGTTATGCAATCGTGTATGAATGCCCCTTCATTTTTCGGGTTATGCAATGGTGTATTTTTCAAGATGGCGCAGCAGTGTTGCCGAACGGGGCACGTAAATAAATGATTTATTTATTGGTGAAATTTTGCAACATCGCATTTTACAGTGTTGCCAGATGGGGCAAGAAATTAGTTGATTTTTTCGATACAGTGTTGCCAGATTGTGCAAAAAAAAATTCGGATTTTCGGACTTGTAAAATTTTTCCGTTTTGGAAGACGAAATTTGAAACATTTTTGAGAAAACTTCTTCGTTTTTAATATTTTAGACCTTTTAGACGTTGGTCTAAAAGGTCTAAAATGAAATTAGTTAATTTTTCGATACAATGTTGCCAGATTGTGCAAAAAATTCGGATTTTCGGACTTGTAAAATTTTTCGGTTTCGAGAGACCGTATCTTGCAGTATGGGTCGGTATCAGATACTGTAGATTAGGGTCTGATTCGGTAAAATTGAAAATTTTTCGGAAAATCACCATCCTCCGATCCACCGCGGACGGATGCGATTCTTTTCCATAATCGAAGATCGGAAAACTGTACGGATCGAATTTCGATACGACTTTTCGTTTTCGAGATT